ACTTTTGATAATCTTCCCTTTCATTCTTGTTTCCAATAATATTTTTCCTTCGATTTCTTCTATAATTTCCTAATTTTTTTGTTGATTTTGTAATTTTTTTCAATTTATTCGTCATTCACAAATCTCCGAATATAAAAGATCTGAAATTATCCAAGTGATTGTTTCGTTCTGGTCTTGACCCAATCAATAACTTGAAGGTTGGCAATGGTGAAGATGATAGAGAACAACGTTGACGGCGAAGTTCGGATGGCTGTGGAGGTATTTAAAATTGACTATATATGTTCACTGTATATTGTGACATAGTTAACTATTTGTTTCAGAAGCCAAATGAACGATTGTTGTTGTGATATTGGGTGAATGGATTGTCTTGTCTTGGATCTATTTATGTACGAATACTCAGCTATTAAATAGTTAGCTATGCGCTAATTTATGTACGAATAGTCAGCTATAAGATCAAATAATAGTTGACCATGCTACTGTCGTATCAAATATTATGTAAACAACTATACGAATTAATTTACTATAATAGTTCACTATACTTGTACAAGTTTACATTTAATTTAATATAATAGTTCACTACTTACTATTGAATACAAATTTACTTGTGATTTTGATCTCAATAGCAACATCTTTAAATCAGTTATTTTTAGTCATTAATGGTAAATATTTTTGACTGATTTTTACAGATTTTCCTTTTTAATTTTCGCAGTGATATTTTTGTCCATTTTTTATGTCTCTCTCCCGCATATCTAAATTTTATTATACAGAAGTTAATTACCTAATTATGCAAGCTAATTAACCCTATATATAACTAACTTTTTAAAAAGAAAGAAACAAAATTATAATTATAATTAGAACTCTTTTAGAGAAAATGTTTCACACGAAAAACAAATAACGAAATGCAAATTTCGAAACTAGAACTCGGATGATACAGCATATTGAATTCAGTACCGGATCCAGATGCCTGACGGCGCCGCTGCAGCTCGAAAAGCGGAGTTTGTATCGTTGAGGATAAATTTGAAGTGAAGAAGTCTACTTTTGGTATTACAAGCAAAGCTTGAACTTGAAGTACGTTGATGGTTGTGTACAAAAGAGGATGAGAGAGATACGTTCCATTACATTGCAAAGTTGGTCTGGACTTTGCTTACTAAATGCTCTCCATAGACGGCTTTTTTGAAAACTTGGGATCCTGTCACTGCAGGATACTTCTGTTTACATATATCCAATGGCTCCACCACCGCGTCGAAATTAGTCTGTGCATTCAAAATTGAAAAAAAAAAAAAAACATGAGTCCAAATCCAAATGTGAAAACACACAAAAAATGTTACAAGACTATAACCTCGTAGAAGAATGCAACGCAGACTCGGTATCGAGGAGAGTTATTGATCACTCTATGAAGTGTGGATTCGTATACTCCGTTTGAAAGTATCTGCATATATGATTCCGAGCAGATTCTCAAAAGGATATTCAAGAAAGACCAGAGGTGAGAGTAGGAAGAAGTGAAGAACAAACCTTTAACATGTCGCCGATGTTGCAGACAAATGATCCAGGGATGGGAATAGCTGATATCCAATCACCGCTCAAGTTTCTCACCTTTTCAAAGTTAAAAATCTTATAAGAGAGACAAGACCACTTCTTCACATAAACATAAGAGTAGAGGAAGGTCATCACTAATATATGTACCTGAAGGGCAGTTTTGTCATCATCTTGATTCACAAGAGTTAATAAGCCTACAGATAACAGTATTCCCCATTGAGACAAAACTATGAAGATAGATTCACAAAGTCAACTTGATTTTTACTTTAGGCTATAAAATTAATTACCATAATCTGTGTGAGCTCCACTGGAACCAGAGCAGCGGGGCAAGCAGATATTCGAACAAGGTGAGTTACTCGAGCTAATAAGCGTAAAAGGGAATCGTAGTAAACAGAAGGATAAGTAGAAGGTTACCATCCGATATCATTTTCGGGATGGCCATTTGTGAGCGGTGCACCTGGATAGCCAATAAGACGCATCACCCAAAAAGGCTCTCCAGCAATCTTCCCTTCAAACTCATAAGGCGATCCGCCACAAGCTAATGCAATTCCCCTTAAGATCTTTCTAGAAAGATCTAGAAACCATGAAAAGGAAAGAAGAAATTACTCAACTCCAATGGAACTATGTTTATATTACTAGAATACAATACATCTCTCAAAATTACTCAAATATTTTTACACCCCCAGTAAATTACGATAAACCCCTTAATTAGTTTTTTTTAATTGAGATTATTTTTAATTAAAAAATGATTAAAATTATTAACAAATCCATGTCACCAATACCGTGATCAAAAGAGAGGGAATTACAAAGCAGAGACGTTTAAGTTTCCGGTGTTAAAGGAAAAAAAGAAAAAAACCACAAATTTTCTGAAACTGTCTTCTCCGCAAGAGTCTTCCCCGAAATCGACATTGTTTCTTTCTTCTCCGCAAGAATCTTCCCCAAAAATCGTCTTCCTCGCAGTCTGTAAAACTGTCTTCCCCGAAAATCATCTCCGCCGATATCGTCTTCCCCCGAAATCGTCTTCTCCGCAGTCGCCTTTAATCGTCGTCGCCGAAATCGTCTTCCCCTGAAATCACCTTCTCTGCAGTCGCCTGTAATCGTCTTCTCTGG